TCAGCCCCAGGGCCTTTGCATATGTTTCCCCCTCTTCCAGGAATGCTGTTCCCCAAAAACCACACAGTCCTCTTCCTTACTTCTTTCTCCTCCATGGTAATTTCTCATCAGCTGACATTACCTATTTGTCCATTTTCTTAGTGAGTGTCTGTCTTCTACACCCACAGACAAATGTCAAGAGCACAGACTGTCTATTCTGTCTAGCTTGTTCAATGTCTAGAATAGAATCTGGCATACAGTAGGTGTTTAATAAATATATGTGAAATTACCCCACAAAGACACTAGTGGGATTATATTTTACATGCCTCTCATCCCTGTTTGTACCAGCCAATGCCAGCATTTGACTTCCTCGAATGCTGAGTGACTTCCAAATACTATCTTTGGGCTGGACCTCTTATCTGAGTTCCCGGCTCAAATGTCCAATTACTTACTATATGTTTCCATTGAGATTCCACAGATCTACTCACCAGGATCTCCACGCTGTTCATTTCCTGACCCTTCACTCTGTTTCCATGTTTCTGTCTGCATCCAGCATTCCTTTTCTCAGTAGCTGGTGACACTATCCACCCACTGTACAAACCAGACCCTGAGGATCATTCTGGGATTTCCATCCCTGTTCTCCCCCAGCCAGTTCATTGCCCAGACCTGCTGGCTTTGCTCCATCTCTACAGCCACAGCTCGTAGCCAAGCTACCGACATTTTCCTCCTGGGCTACTGCAATAGTCTCATGACTGGCCTCCCTACGGTCACCTTGCACTCTCCATCTGTCTTCTACACCGTAGCCTGTGCGATTCTTTAAAGCACACTTCTCAGCCTGGCACTCCCCTGCTGGAATCCACCATTCACTTTCCACTGCTCCCAGGATAAAGACCAGAATCCTTAACATGGCTTCTGAAAGCTGGGGAGATAGTTAAACAGGACACACTAACAGGGTTGCACAGATTGTTCAAGGCTGAAATGCCTCCCTTCTGCTTAGCCTGCAGCCACTGCCTCAAGCTCTTAGGTACCTCTCCCATCTGCTGCTCTGGCCACTCTGACCCCTTCTTCAAATCCCTTCCCCTCCATGAGCAACTCCAGGGTTTATCTGGAGTAATATGTAAACACACACACACACACCACACAATGCGTATATACGTGTGTGCACACATCATTCAGGCCTAGGGCATGCTGTCCCAGTTGCTGAATGTTGCACTCTAATCCTGGCCTGTTAAGTTCCAGTTCCATCCCAGCTTTACCTCACCTGGGACCTCCTGCTCTCTGCACTTGCCCTATCCTGGCCTTCCTTAAACACTCCACTCTTTTTTTCTGCCTCCAGGACTTTGCTCAGGCTCTTCTCCATGACTGGAATGTTCTTCCCTTCCTTCACCTCATTAAGCCCTGCTCATCCTTCAGTTCCACTGTGTCTTGCTCATGGTAGCGTTTCCCTGATCTCCAGGCCAGACCTCTTATCTATTCTCAGAATATTCTAGGGTTTTCTTTCACGACAATAGTTTTGGGGTCACACATCTATTTCTATTTATTTGATGAACAGCTCTTACTGCCACTAGCCTAGAGTTCAGAGAGGCTGAGGCCTATGACTTATTTTGCTCTTAAATACCTACAGCCCAGCACTCCTTGTACACCTGGAGATGAACAGGAAGACATTGGATGCAGGGGCCTGAAGCTTGAATGATGCTTAAATACATTCAAACAAACAAAAAGCCAGGCATCTACATAAATGCTCTGGTGTATGTGTGTGTACATGTGTGTGTGTTCTTAGGTCTGAATTTGTTCTGTTCCATAAACAGAATAGTGATGATAATGGTAAAAATTAACAGATATGATCCCTGCAATAAGGAAGCTGCCCTGAATATTCCAATGCCTCTTATATAAGCCCAGAGCTCCTCTCTTACCCTCCTTAGAGTAATTACTTCCTCTGACGGCAAGCAGCACTCATTCTTCCCCCACCGCGAACTATCTGGAAGCGCGTTGCTTACATAAGGAGGAGTGCAGGTTGTGCCCCTGCTCCGCGGCCCATCAGCTCAAAAGACTCCAGCAGAAAGCAAATTCCCAAGCCGTGACCCCAGGACAAGAGCCTGTTTTTATCTTCTCAAAACAATGAATGCATGTTTTACAGAGGAGAAAACTCTAGTACCATTAGGAGGCCAGCCCTGTGAACATTATAAAGAAGTGGTATGGTCCCCATGGGGGCCCTAATGTGCCCAATGAGGGCACAAATTTGGAAACAGCCCTTCCCCCACTGCCTGTCCTCTCCCTTCTAAAGCACAAACCAAATCATCCTCTACACAACCAGGGCGAGCTCAGGCAACATGACCAGCTCCTTTCCAGGTGCAGCCCATCTGCAGCTGCCTGTCACTGCACAGTCATGGACCTAAGACACAAGCCACTAGGGCTCAAATGTGGGGAGCAGGGGACGAAACAGCCTCAGGAGCAAGACCACAGCCAGGGGCTTAGCCTGGGGTGGGTTTTCCTTTGACTCCTCTCTGCCATCCATTTCCTTTCTTGCAGCAGCATCTTCTTTGAAAGAAAGAGGCTTGTCATAGCCAAGACTGCGGTCTCGAGGCTGAAGTCCTCCCCCGCCCCTATCAGTGTCTAGCAGGGAGAATTGCAACTTGTCACTGGCGCTGAGCCCATCAGAAATTGTGTCAATAAAGTGCAAATAATGCCTCGGTGCCTGCTGCTCTCTGAGCCCGAAATGAACCAAGGAGGTCCTCTAAGGAGAGAAGACAGAGGGATGAGGCAGTTACACCCAACAGGAGACCAATCAGGACAAAGCCATTCCCCGGATGTCATCAAAATCTTCCAATTTCACACAGAAAATGAGCCCTGGCTCAAGTTTTATGAACGTTCAGTTGTCCCCATTTCGGCTAAATGGATTCCTTTGAGAGCTGGAATCTTAACCCTTGGAAGGCCTCCGAAGGACTGAGTCGCTTCCACCAGGAACTGCACTGCAGAGAAACATCCAGCTGCATCTCTCTAGCCACAGCATGGAAAACCTCAGAACCCACACAGCCCGGCCCAGCAACGCAGGCCACAGGAGAGCAGCCCTCACCTGGGCTGGGGATGGGGGGCGCTGGGAACAACATGAATGGGCTTGTGCACCTGTTTCTGGGAGCGTGGTGTTAAGAGGTGTCTAAGCCCCCCTCCTGAGCCACTCTCCTCCAGGACTCTCAGCTTGTCCTGTTACTTTCCTTCTTCCACCTCTTTCCATCAAAGCAATGAGTTCAGAGTTCCCTTCTGCCACCCAAGGGCCAACCTTCAACTCAGGGTCTGGTGTTTGGTTATAATCACCAACATCCGTCGGTCTGGGATGTGTAGGTATAGGTGTTCTGGGTGGAGGGATGAAAGGAGAGGAGGAGGGCTGCCTTCTCCTCATCCAGTTTGCATCCTCTTCTGCTCCCCTCTGAAGTTCACTGCCACAGGTTTGCATTTCCCTGTTTCCTGGTTTTCTGTCACGTACCTCACCCACTCTGTTCTCTCTAATTTTTTTGAGGGGAGGGGTACCAGGGATTGAACCCAGGGGCACTATACCACTGAGCCACATCCCCAGCCCTTTTTAATATTTTATTTAGAAACAGGGTCTCACTGAGTTGCTTAAGGTCTCCTTAAGTTGCTGAGGCTATCTTTAATTTGAGATCCTCCTGTCTTGGCCTCCTGAGCCACTGGGATTATAGGTATGCGCCACTATGCCCAGCTCCTCTCTGATCTTTTAGCTATGAAATTGTGCCATCAAGCAACTCCAAATGGGGTCTTGGCCCTGGGAGAGAGCGCAAGCAGTATTTTGCATTTGCAGCAGAGCTTGGAGTGGCAGGGAAGTAAGGATGAGGAGGGCAGGGGACAGAGGAATGTAGCCCATGGAAAACTAAACCTGCCTTGGGCAGAAAATTTGTCCTCGCTGTCTTGTAGAAGTCAAGCAGCCTCTACAACACAGACGCACCAGAGGACACTGTGCAAGGTAAAGCAGCAGGTCACAAAAGGACAATGCTGTAGTATTCTGTTCCTCCAAGGTCCCTAGATTTCTCAAATTCATAGGGTCTGAGAGTAGAAGGGGCTGGGGAGTCAAGAAATGGGGAGCTGCTTAACGGGGACACAGTTTCAATTTGGCAAGATGCGAAGGGTTCTATGAAGGAATGCTACTGGTGGCCCAGAACACTGTGAACGCACTCAACATGACCCAACTGTACTAAGAGGGTAAACTCTATGTTACATTTAACTACCATTAAAAGCAAGTTTTAAAAGAATGACTATGGTAAAAATAAGAGGAGTCACAGTTGGCCAATGTGTTCTGAATGAAAAACTGAATTTGCATGCACACCTGAGTCACTCAGTTGGCTGACAAGCACCAACAAACCAAAACCAAAACAAGTCACCAATCCATGAGCCCAAATCCCTCACCTGTCCTCTTTCCAGAAGCTTCTTTCTTCTCTGTTCAGCTAGCTCCTAGATCTTTGGCCCAGCACCTGACTCCTTTGCCCTGCAGTCCATCCTGAACACATTGTTTCCTTCCCAGCCCCTTCCTGAGACCAAGCTCCTGTCACAAGCTCAGGAGCCATGAAGAGCAAGGTGTTGGAGCCCTCCTCAGACTTGCCTTCCTCAACACCTGACAAACAGAGTCCTCCCTCACCTTTCTTCTCCGCCCAGCTGAAAACCCATAAAGGTGGCTGGTGAACGAAAGCGATTTAACCTTCCCACTAATACAACCTCCTTCAAAGGCCCTTCCTCCTGCCCACTTTCAAAGGCCACATATTTTAAGACAACAGCAGGAATCAGCTTCTAAGGAAAGAGGCCCCAGGGGGTCCAGGGTGGGTCTCACTCCCACCTGTCAGGAAGCAGCCCTTCTCACTGGGGCTCAGCCTCAGTAGCCAGAGATGTCTCCACAAGGTTAGGGGCTACAGCATGCAGAGCCCTTGGGGGTTTTTAAGATCTCAAAAGCTTTCAAGAAACAACACCAGGGAAGAGTGACCCTTCAGAGGCAACATGCCTGCCTCCATCTCACTTACCTGGTTACAGGTGTTAATATCCACCCCATTCCGCAGATGATCCAAAGCTTTGTCCAAGTTACCTGATCGTGCTGCCCTCAGAAAGCTGGTAGCAGCATCAGCCTGTAGGGAAAACAGCAGGCTGTGAGTGGAGCGTGCCCTGTGTCTTGCTGTAACAATCCCAGCTGAGCCCATGTCACAGTGGCAGCACCTCACCCTCATGTCAGGTCCTCAGGTGCGGTGAAGGTACCTTTGGGCTCCTGGCTGCACTGTTCTTAGAACCAGAATGTAAGGCTGCCTTAGACACCATGCCTCCCACCTTTTGGGTATTTTCGTAAGCAAATATCTTGGCTGGGTAGCAGGCTTTGAGCGGGATCCTATTCCAACAGTGGATGCTTAGCATGGCCTGGGGTTCACTCCTTTGATTTTTCAAGGGCTCCACATTCTTGCTGAGGAACCTGTAATATCACATAGGTCTCCAGCTCCAGTGATTCATGAGTACAGGCATAGAAGGAAGAGCCATATGCTCTGTGGGGCTGTTTGTTTTTGTTTTTGTAAGCAAACAGCACATAGTACTATTTACTAGGTGCTAAGAATCATTATTGGCATTTTACATATATATCGCCACACATGGACACACACGGAGATATGCACCTGACCTCCATTTTAAAAAATCCAAGAAGGAAATACCACCATGGTCCCCATTTTACAGATAAGGTCACTGAGGCACAGAGAGCTGAAGTGACTTGTTCAGAGTCCCACAGGAAGTAAGAGGCACAACCAGGATTAAGGCAGGTGGTGGCTCTGAAATTCATGAGCTTCACTCCTAGCTCTGCTACTGGTTTCATCTGGCCTTAGACACTCAGGTGCCCCAAAATCCCTGTCCGATTTCTTGAATGACATTAAAGCCTTCTGTTCCTGGGCTGTTGCTCAGACGCTTACCCCACGCACAGGAAGACTGTGCTGCTGGGAGTACTGGTTTGCATTAAAGATGAATGATGGCCAGAGAGTGAATGCTGGGGACAACAAAAGAAAGTCTGCTAATGCAGACAAATGGAATAAAAGGACTGAAGAGGCTCAGAGCAGGTCCCCTGAGTCCAGGCTGAGTACTGTAGATACTCAGCCACCCTATCTGAAAGCTGTGGAGAAGAAACTCTTCCTCACTCCCTTGTGGTGCTTTGAGAAAATAATTATGTGAGCACAATGGTTGGCACACCAGGCATATACAGGCTGAGTTTAACAGGTAAGAGTGGCTGTGTGGACAAGTCACAGGTGAAAGTGTGTGATGCCACTCATCCAGAACACCTGCCTGGTGGTGCCCTCTCCACTGAGGGCTAGGTCTGTCTCCTTCCTCTACGCTGCATCTTCAGAGAACATGCTGGATGATGGCCCCCAAAGATTCTTCCACACTCTGATCTCTGCAGACTACCAGTGTGCCCTCATTTGTAAACAGAGACCTTGCCGATGTAATTAAGTTGTGGCTCCTGAGATGAGATCATTTTAGACTCCTTAGGTTGGCCCTATATCCACTGCTGTGTGTCCTCAGAAAAGACAGAAGAGGAGACACACGCACAGGGGAGAAAGCTATGTAAAGAAGGAGGCAGACATTGGAGTGATGGTAGCCCCAAGACAAGGTAGCAGGCAAGCACAGAGGTGGAAGGGACCAAGAGCAGTTCCTTCGCCAGAGCCTTTGGAGGGAGTGCGGCCCTGCTCACTACTTCATTTCAGACCTCAGGCCTCCGGACTGGGAGAGAATACATTTCTGTTGTTTTTAAGCCCCCCAGTTTGTGGTAGTTCGTCTTAGCAGCCACAGGAAACTAATATATATATGCTAATGCCAACATCCCTAAACAAGGAAGACACAAAATGTACAGCCCCACAATCCCAAAACAATATTCTACAATGAAATTCTGATCACCCCTTCCCCAAAGCAGGGATACACACTTTGCCATTTAACAGTGACCCTGTGATGAAACAAGCATCCTTAGTATCAGGATTCTCCCCAAAGGCTGATTTTGGGCCATTCCTGCCTCCTCCAGGTCCCATTTGAGCCCCTTTGATATAGGTTCCAATACAAGCTCTGTGGCTGTCCTCCCATGGCACATGCTGCCCCATCAGCAGGAAGACCCCCTCCTCTCTTTTTTGTCTCCCTGTGGTATTCCCATTTTTTTGCCCCCTCCTGGCCTGTCCCCTCACCACTCCCTGAGCCCTGAAGCTCTCATCTGTCCATTCCAATCTCTCCTTCCTTCAAGGTCTCCCTGGGCTCCTACTCCTTGCGTGATTCTGCCCTTCAATACTCAATATTTACCATCTTCAAAAAGTTGAAGTCATAGGATAGGAGCTTGATTTTAAATCAAGCATTTTAAATACAACTTTCTCTAGTTATTTAATTTATGTAAATCTTATCTCCCCAGCTAAATTGTTTGCTTCCTGAGGCAGGGACCAAATCTTGTATCTCTTTTAAGTCCTTCAAAGAATTAATGTCTGCAAGGTCAAGGCCTCATTTGACCTGAAGCACATGGTTCCCACGTCCCCAGGTTCCTCAGCAAGCCATCTGTGATGAAGGAAATATTTCAGAAACAAGAATCAGTCTATTGGTTCTCCATGCATGAGCTGGAGTCCCAGAGAAATCAGACTCAAGGTATATCTCCCAGCTAAATGACTAGGCCTGCTGATTGAGAAAGCCTATCTGTGTTCAACTAGAAGGAAAAACACAACATTATTCCCCAAGAATAAAGGTGTTGGGTTGGGGTTGTGGCTCAGTGGTACAGTACTTGTCTAGTACGCGTGAGGCACTGGGTTCAATCCCAGCACCAGATAAAAATAAATAAACAAAGATGTTTAAAATGACATCATGTTTTTTTAAAAAAAGAATAAAGGTATTATGGAGACATTTCTCCCACCAATTGAGTATATTTTCCAGCACAATAATAGGATTCAGGATAAAAACCTGAGAATAGATGGATAAAAACAGATGCAATATCAATGAGCAACTCTATTTGACTATTCAAAGCACGGACTCTAGGAAGCAAAGCAGAATATTAATGACAGACAAGGAGATAAATAGAGGCCAAGGGAAGCCAATCTAGACTAGAATGAGAAGGCTAAATGGTGTCTGTAATTTTTATAATATAAACATAAAATTATAATAGCAGTCAATGGGCTAAGTGAGTTATACCTTTTTTTTCTTTTCTATGTTGCTGTGGATTGAACCCAGAGCCTTGTGCATGCAAGGCAAATGTTCCACCACTGAGTTACACCCCCAGCCCCTAACAGTATATCTTTTAATCCTTATCACAACTGGTGAGGTGAGTATAATTATTATCCCCATTTTAGAGCTGGTGAAATTGAGGTTTGCAGAAGCTAATCATTTGCCCAAGTTCTGCAGCTAGTTAATGTTCAAGGACTCAACCCAAGTGTGCCTGACCAAAGTCCATGACACCATGGGCCATTCTCAGCCATAGAAGCCTGAGAGTGTCCATTCAGACAGCCCTGACAGGTGTAGGAGCTAGGCGAGGACTAGAGTTTATCCATGGAAAAGTGAAGTTTCTGGACAGGTCCAGAAGGTCCCACCTCTGTCACTAAGCACTGTGTTAAGGTCAACACAGTTCTCTAGAAAGGAGTCATCTAGTTCTACAAATCTGTTTCCTGATGATAAAATCGAGACCCAGAGAAGTGACGTGACTAAGGTTGCCTAGAAATGAAGTTCACTCATTAAGGCTTTGTCAGGTTTTTTGTTTGTTTGTTTGTTTGGGGGGGGGGGGGAGGTGGGTTTCTATGGGCAGTGAGTAGGCAGGACATAAGCAAGATCATCAGGGTCTCTTAGAGGTGAATTTCAAATAATGATGTCACTCCCACTGGCATCGCTCAGTTTAATTCTATAATGTATTTATTGAGACCCTATTTCAAGTCCAATATCCTGCTAAGGTAAAGAGAGAGAATAAAAAATCAGAATGTAAGTCCTCACCTTCATGATTTGAAAAGTAAAGCGGCTGAGTTATAAAGGGGTCATTCATGCTCACAGGCATCTATGGATTCATTTCACAAGTATTCACTGAGTACCTTCAAGATGCCAGGTAATTTACAAACTACAGAGCAAATGGTCCTAGTTGGTCTATGAGACTGGTGTTTACCATCTTGTGCTTCTGAGCCCCTACTACCCATTTAGTTCAACTACTCCAATTTAATTGCCTATGCTTTAGTGTTCTGTGCACCCAGGAAGATGCTATGTCATCTAACAGGGTGGGAAGATTCAGAAGAATCCAATAAGTTCCGTTAAAAATATTTATCTGAGTAAATACTAACCAGGAAAACAACAACAAAATACTAACCAGACATTCTCTAGGCTATGGTAAGTTGGAGAAAAGTTGCTGGCCCTCTCTGAGTCCTATCCATCCCCTTCTAGGCAGCCTCAAGAAAGCTATTACGTGGAAAGAAACTAGGGAACCCAAAAGGGCCTGCTGTTGTGTACAATCAGTAGGCCCACAGCTCCCATAAGCCCTGGATGGATGCCTTCAAGGTGCTCACATCCCTGTGCACCCCACCAAGGCTGCTCTCTTGTGTCTCTGTCCCTTCTTTATCTTGAGCTCCATTTTAATTTAATTACATGTGTGTGCGCATGTGTGTTTTGGAGGCATGGAGGAGTTCCACAACGTACATTTTGTTTCACCCCTAGGCCATATCCCTGCAGGTCAGTCCATGTGATAACCCTGAACTTTCTTTCAAAACAAAGTAAGTTTACTTTTATAAAGTTCTTACTATGTTTTAAGCATTCTAAATAAGATCATTTGTTTGCCCCCCCCCCCCAGAATCCCATGAGGCAGGTATTTTTATTATCTCCTTTTTCACAGATGAGGTTATAGAAAAATTAAGCAATTTGCTCACAGTCCCACAGTTAATTGGCCAGGTTTGGATCTAGGTAGTGTATCTCTAAGGTCTTTCTTTTAACCACTGTGCTGTCACTTTTGAAGGCTCATAAAGTTCCTCTCAAGTTCAGCTTTGGCTAGAAGAAGCCTTCCGCCTGCCTTCAGGAGGAAGGAAATGGAAGAGAAAGGAAGAGATTGGAATTCCTCCTGGAACTCAAGCTCTCATCAGGGCTGCTCTGAAAGGGGGTGAACCCTGGT